GGGGGGGAGGGGGCAGTTACCAGAGACTGATCTCAGGGGCACTTGGCCACTGAGCCACATCCACAGCCCTATTTTGTATTTTATTTAGAGACAGGTCTCACTGAGTTGCTTGGTGCCTTGCTTTTGCTGAGGCTGGCTTTGAACTAGCCATCCTCCTGCCTCAGCCTCCTGAGCCGCTGGGTTACAGGCCTGCACCACTGTGCCAGCTCTTTCAGTTCTTTTTATCTTCCTTTTAGGGGAAAAGGAAGACAAATTATTACCTCTTATGATATGTAAGAGCCTTCTAGTTATAAAATTCTTCAAAATATGAAATTCTCTTTTCCATTTAGCATTTTAAACATTCTTTTCTTGGTAGTGGTTAGTTTCAATTCAAACCAATTTTGTTCCTATACAGGGTCTAATATAGTCCTATGCCAGACCCACTAAGAAAACCAAAGGGAATAAGATCTGATCCCTTCAACAGACTTACAATCTAATGGGAAGATGAACTGCAATATGTGCAGGAAACTTGGTAACAATTCTATGTGATCTACAAATCATCATCATTTTCCCTTAGTGTTTCCTTGGGCAGCTCTGGGAATGGAGCACTTAATACTTGTCAAAGCCCCTCATTCCATCTTGAATATGAGCTCCTCCAGGTCCTCGTCGGGCCTCTCAATTGTGTTCTAAACACTAGGGCAACACCTTGTGTAAATGTGCACTCAGTAAAGGTCTGATGAATGAAGAAGGCTGTCAAGTGCATCTATGGAGCAGAGGTCTCAAAAGATTCTCTAAAGACGGCACTGTGTGGGCCCTAAAGGATCTAAACAGGGACTTGACAGAGGCGGGAGGACATTCCTGTTCAGTGGTTCTGGTGCAGATATCTTGCTGAGAAAAATAACAGCCTCTGTGGGCGTAAGTGAGGCAGCATAGCCCAGCGGCTTCTGAGGAACTCAGTGTCTCCTCTCTCCTAAAAGTACCCGTATGGACAGCATGAGCTCAGTTCCCACAGGACAAGCAGCTCTGCTTCTTTCTTTCCCAATCAGTCATCTCCAAGTCAGGTGACTGAGAATGAAGTCACTTATGAGTAACCCCCAAATATGATATTTCTGAAGTGTAGGGGGGTGTTGTGTATGAAATAAATTACTCACAAGCTTCAGGGCTTTATTACAGTTAATAAATTGCTTGCAACACCCCTCCCCAAGCATCCATGTGTTGTAAGATAAAGATGAAAACCCCTAGTAGTGAATGAATACGTTTCTAAACATAAGTTCTTCTACATTAATGATTTTTATTTAAACAGATATTTTGTGTAGGTCTATTGTTATACTATATTGTATCATAATGGAAATGTGTCCCTATACTTTCTCCCTAAAAATTATTCCTTTTTGTCCTGCTCATCAAAAGCAGAGGATTAACACTTAGCATTATCTATTGTTTACCATAAATAATTTTTCCACTCACATCATCCCACTTAAGGAATTTAGGCATCCCAGGGTTTCTGGTTTTGTTTTGGATTTTCTTCCAGTACCGGAGGCATCAAGCCTAGGGAGTTTGATCATGCTAAATCCCTCAGGTTTTGTGATAACCTCTGAAGTCATTTCTACTCTGGCACTACAAGTAGTATTGTGGAAACTTAGACACACATAGAAAAGGTGTTTCAATAGGTCATTACATAAATGCCATCAAAATGGTAATGAAAATATGTACAATATTCTGTAATATGTTTTTAAGGAGTAGATATATCCTGATTCTGGGATAGTGTTTTTGAAAATCGTGATGGAAAATAAACTACTTACCAGCAACTCTCACAGAGAGTCTTAGATTTCTGGTTTTGGTGTGGCCCTTGCTGCTCTCCATACTAGCATCTGGGCTGCAAAGAATGCTCTTGGTAAAACTGGCTGTTGGTCTCCATTCACCACAAAACGGACCTGTTATTCCGAGAGCTGCCTGTCACATATCTGTGGCCTCAGGAAGGAGTCAAAACCCTCTTTGATCTCTCACAATTCATTTTCCTGTGATGGACATTTATAGAGGTCTGTGGGCCGACCTGTTGGGAATATGCATGGAGCCTTTCTCTCTGCAGCTGCTCTGGGACTCCTCAGTGTACAAACACAACTCAAGGGCAACGGCTTGAGTTCAACTGCAACAATGGAGAGCAGTTAATTCTCTGTTGGATTCATTAATGTCTCGGCAATCACCTGTTCCCAGCCTGCAGCGAGAAGATCAGCTTCCTCTCTCTTCTGGGATGTGGGTGAGCGAAGTCCAGAGTGAGATTTCTGCTAAGAAGTTGTGGGTGGCTGAAACCTCAAGACGGCCTTCCCTTCCCACTAGGGAGAGAAGGGGTCAGGGTGGGTGTATACTTATTGGGATGGATTTCGCTGCATACGAAGTTTTTCCTTCATGTTACGTACTTTGCCAGATGGACAGATATCAGATGCCACAATATTAAAAGCATCCCCACTATCTTCAGCTAATCCACTCCTGCTAAGGGCTGATTTCCTACCAAAACCTGTATGACTTCGTGCCCCTTAATTTTATGATCCTGCTGTTGCTCATGACCTGGTGAAGACACTGTTTGCTATGGAGTTTAAAAGTAGGGGAAAAAAAGAGTCATCAAACAGCTCTTTAGGGCACAGATGGAGAGAAGACAACAAGCTTGGAAGTCTTGTCGTACTTTACTGCACAAAAATAAAAATAAAAATATTAGATAAAGAGGTAAGTCTCTAAACCTTAAAATTTCCCTTAATAACATGGGGTTTTCCCTCATGCTTAGGAGAAACACATTAACAGTACTCCTAAAAGATCTTAGAATGATTAGCCATCAGGGAAACGCAAAGCTAAAGCACATCTGATCAAGCACTTCACACATACCAGGGAGGTCACAATAAAGGGACTGATATGATGTGTTGGTAAGGGAGTGAGGAGGTTAGAAGCTTTATTTACCACTCTTAATAATAATGTAAGCTGGTTCTACTGCTTTGAAAATGATCTGGAACTTCTTCAGAAAATTAAATATAGAGTTAATGACCCACCTCTTCCACTCCTACTTACAAACTCAAGATAAATAAGAAAGTTGTCCACCAATAATTTGTATATGAATGTTCATATTATATATAATGTTCATATTATATACACGAATCTTATTCATATTAGTCAAAAAGTGAAAATGACCAGGCAGGTCTGTAATCTAGCTACTCAGGAAGCTGAGGCAGGAGGATCACAAATTTAGGGACAACCTGGGCAACCTGGCGAGACCCTGTCTCAAAACAAAATTTTAAAAAGGGCTGGGCTGTAGCTTAGTGGTAGAACATCGTCTAGTGTGCAGGAGGCACCGGGTTCAATCTCCAGGACGACACACACACAGACACAAAGAAAAAATTACTATCCAGTGGGAAATGAACAAAGAAATGTGGCATTTTCATAAGATGGAAATCATTCACAATAAGGAGGAATAAAATAAAATACTAATACAAGCTACAATATGAGTGAAAGTTGCAAACATCCTAAGTGAAAGGAGTCAGATCCAAAAGGCATATATGGTATTACTTCATTAGAAATATCCATGGAAACTCGAGTGAACACATGGGTCTTTCCAGATGTGAAGGAGAAACACAGAAATGGTGTTTATTTAAGAACTTAGAATCATGATCCATTAGGAAAATGCAAGTCAAACTCAGATTTCACATAAGCACTTCACATTCACTAGTGTCGGCTAGAGCTGCAATATTGGGGGTAGAGGAGAGGGACTGCTTTGGGTATAGGCTTTTTCTGGAGAAAAAAGTAATAAAAATATTCTGAAATACCTGTGGATTAGAGAACCCAGGTGGGGTCACAATGTGTCACATACTTAGCACGGTGTGTTTCCCCTGATGGGAGGGGCACCACAGTGGTCATGGGACACTGTATACGGAGAGAGCGCTGTCATAGTTGCTGCTGAAGAGTTCACATATTTCTACAACTAAGACATTTCCTAGAATGAAAACCATCATCCAGTTCTAATCTCACTATGCAATCTGTCTCCCAGCCAGCTTCCTCAGGCCACTCTGGACCTCCTTGTTTCTCAGGCTGTAAATGATGGGGTTCAACATGGGGGTCACCACACAGAAGAGCACAGAGACCAGGATGTCCGTGTCCAGGGAGTAGCCTTCTCTGGGCCTGTCATAGTTGAAGTTGGCTGTTCCATAGAAGAGCACCACCACAGTGAGGTGGGACGCACAGGTGGAGAAGGCCTTCCTCCTGCCCTGGGCAGAGGGAATCCTGAGGATGGCCGCGATGATGAGTGTGTAGGAGCCTGCAGTGAAGAGGCAGGGGCTCAGGCCAATGGTGGCACTGGCCACGTGGAGCACAGACTCGTTGACAGAGGTGTCTGAGCAGGAGAGCTTCAGGAGCAATGGGATGTCACAGAGAAAGTGGCTGATCTGGTGGGGCCCACACAGAGTGAGTGTGGTGGCCAGCACCGTGTGTGTGACCGAATTCACCAGCCCACACAGCCAGGACCCAGTCACCAGACCAACACAGACCTTCACCCTCATGAGGACGGGGTACTGAAGAGGACGGCAAATGGCCACATAGCGGTCATAAGCCATGGCAGCCAGTAAGACGCCTTCTGTGCCGGCACTTGTCACAAAGAAGAAGATCTGGGAAAGGCAGCCCTCATAGGAAATGGTCTTCTTCTCCCGGAAGAAGTTCACCAGCAGTACTGGGATGGTGGTGGATGTGTAGCAGATGTCCAAGAAGCTCAAATTGCTGAGGAAAAAGTACATTGGAGTGTGGAGAGCAGGACTGACCCTGGTGGCCATGATTATGAGCATGTTCCCCAGGAGAGTGGTCAGGTAAATGACCAGAAAGACCAGGAAGAACAAGCCCTGTAGGTCGGAGTGGTTGGAAAATCCCAAGAAGATGAATTCAGTGACAAATGTTTGATTGCTCATTTCCAATGGTGTCATAGCTACAAAACAGAGAAAAAGAAACATGATGAGAATGGACTGAGAGCACCCCAAACGGGCTTGCTAATCTGCGGCAACATGGCAAATAATATTGTATACAGAGATGCCTGGACTGTGGAAAGAGATGCCTAGGAGTGACTTTAGAGAGAGCATGACTTCTCACAGACTTTTGCATGGGTGCTGTTTTGTAAGAATAAATGGAGACTTGGTCAAAATACACAACCAGCTATCAAGCCTGTGTCTCACTGAATCTGCAGTATCTCCCTCCTCACACTGTGCTTCACTGTGATGAATTTTTTTTGTATGTATGTTATTTCAAGTAATAAGTTTTCATTGCGAAAAATGAAGAAAATGCAGAAAGTTATACAGAAGAACAGAACAGGTCACAAAATCAAAGCTCTCTTTGCATGCATTCCATTCTACCTCTATCTATCTTTAAAATATCTGAAGCAAAATTTCCCAAGATTGTTGTACTCTATTTAGTTGTTTGCCTTGTAATCTTAATTCCCTAACATGAAATAAATTTAACATCTGCCTTTTTATTGAACTTAGAAGCCTTCCATTCCATTTACTATCATAAATATTGGAATAGAAGCTTTCATACATATGTATCTGTGATCATCTCTGATTATTTCTTAAAAATATAATTTTAAGTCAGCCTGCTTTTAAATACATTGATCTAATTTTTTCAGTAGAAACTTTTATTTTTTTAAGTTTTATAAGATACAAGAAATTTTGGCCAATGATATATACTTAGGTATTTTTCTTCTTTTGTAGTATAAGATTTACCCCACCAAACCTTACATTTCCTGAAAAAATGATTGATACAATTACTAATTTTCTATCATGTTACTCATGCTAATCTGTGATCCATTGTTTTGAACTAAAATTTCTGTTTCTTTTTCAGTCTTAAATGAAAAATATTATAGTAAAACAGTAGGCTCTTGGTCCAGATAGATGTGGATTGAAATCCATCTGTTGTTTAGTAGATGCTGATAGTACAAAAGTCAGCTGGTCTCTATTCCTCAGTTTGTTCATTGCTTAGGATATTAATGATGTCTATTTCACAACTGCTGAAAAAAGTTTTGAGATAATATAAGCTATGTGTCTGGCACATTACATTTACTCAATGCCTTTTATCAAGTTAGAAAATCTCTATCCATTTTTTACTAGTAGTTTTTTTTTTTTTTTTTTTTTTTTTGGTGTATGTGTGCTGGGTTTTGAATTCAGAGCCTTATGCATACTAAGCATGCACTCTACCACTGGACTTTACACCTAGTTTCATTTAGTTAGAGTTTTTATCATAAATAAACATTGAATTTTCTTATTTTCTCTGCATCTATTGAGATGATATATATTTTTTCTTATTTAGTCTGTTACTATGGAAATTAGGTTGATTGAATTTTTGAATATTGAACCAGCCTTGCATTCTGGGCTTGATCTCAATTGACTGTAATGTATTGTCCTTATTCTACATGGCTGAGTTCAGTTTGTTAATATTGTTCCCTGCTTGCCTTTGTGTATTCTATTTTCGCTGTTCTCCAGAGATAATCTATTTCTTGAAGAATTCTCAGCTGTATTCTACTGCTATTTTCAGTCAATGCATGTGAGTGGACTAGTGGGAAACAGAGAAGGGATTTCTGATGTTTCCAGGAAGCCCTGCCTTAGGTACTGTGAACTCAGTCACAGGGATATGGCCTTCACAGTGACCCACTTTCTACCTATAAGGCTGAGCCTAGCACGGTTCTTACTCCTCCCGACGTTAGACATTTTGGCCTGTTCCTTTCCACAGCTGCAAAGGTTTTCCGTTGAGTGTCCTAATGTAACAGTTTCTGTTGCTCTTGCCCCTGAAGATTACAGCTTTTGTTCTATGCAAAAAATCAGGAAATGGGTCTGGGAGGAGTTTTGGCTGCTGTTGCTGCTCTTTGTCCCTCCACCTATCCAAGAAATGATTCCGTTAAAGACACTTTCTCAGAATACTTCCCTATCTTCCTGGGAGCATTTGGTGGAATCCATGGAGAAAAAGAGAAAATACAAACATCTTATGTCTATAGCCCTCTGGGTCTTTATGCTCTTATACCAGTCTATGCTTAGTCTTTAGCAATTCATTAACCATTTTTTATTTGAGTCTTTTTTATAAATAAACTCCTGTGTATCTAGTGAGTTCTGCCATAGTTAAAAAGAAATGCCTGGATTATTTTGGTTGCTTATCTCCCCCCAGACTTCGGTTAGTTGTTTGCCTTATAATCTTAATCCCTACTAATGTCAAGGAAAGTCATTAATTTGCATTTTCTTCTGCTCTTTTTGGTTATTATAATGATGAAAACAATATGCTTTCTAGCTATTTTGATAGATACTCAAGGTGAAATTTGAAGTCTATACATTTACTTTTGAAAACTATTTAGCAATTTCTAATTAAGTTAAATATATAGTTATTCTATTCAAAACAATCCCATTCCTAGCATATTTCTGAGGAAATGAATGCACAGTTCACAAAAATTCTTGTGTAAAAATTCATAATAACTCAAACAAATATTATGCCTTCAGCAGAAGAACAGAAGACAAATCACGGTGTATCATGCAGTGGAATAATTCAGTTACTTTAGAAACACAAATACTGGAACATTAATAACATTGACAAATCTAAAAAAAATTTTCTGGGTGAAAGAAGCCAGATACAAAATATATACTGTATGTTTCCTTTAAATAAAGTTCAAAAATTAGCAAAACAACTACAATGGTCAAGTAATAATGGTGGGTCTTTTTTTTTTTTTTGGAGCTTAGGGGTGATATCAGTTGAAGCATGAAGGAATTTTCTAAAGTGATGGAAATGTTCTATATCCTGATTTTTGGTAGTTCATATGTATGTAAAAAAATATAAACCTGAACACTTAAGATCTGTGCATTCTTTGAGTACAAATTATAGTTCAATTTTTAAAAATAGCCTTATTTTAAAAATAGGTAAATAATGGGGAAGAGGGGTACATGCCTATAATCCCACGTACTTGGGAGACTAAGGCAGGAGGATCATAAATTTGCAACTCTGCAAGGCCCCCCGCCAAAAAAAAAAAAAATAATTGAAAGGGCTGGGGATATAGCTTAGTGGTAGAGTGCCACTGGGTTTCATCCCCAGTACTGCAGTAAGTAAGTAAGTAAATAAATTAATAAATAGAGGTGAAAGCATTTTTTCAAAATGATTTTTAACTCAGGATTGGTTGGAACCACATCTAAATATTTTTTTAGGTCTCTAAGAGGTTAAGTATTTTCTCCCAATTTTTTGCATTTCTCTACTTCTTTTTTACCACAGTTATAGTCCAGAACATATCACATTTTACAAGTGATATCAGTTGTTTCCTGATTACCATCTATTTGAAGGAGTGAATGTGATTGGTGGGTGCATGGGGTCTGGATCACAGATACAAAGCCTTGCTCACCATGACGGATGGATGGGCGTGTGTGTGTGTGTGTGTGTGTGTGTGTGTGTGTGTGTGTGTTATTGGTTGTGGGATGGGTCTTGACTGAGAACACTGTCTTATAGTTAGTGGGATGGCAAGTTGGCATCTCAGGCAACATTGACAGCAGAAATCTCAAGGAATATAGCAGGAATCTGCCATCTGAGGCTCAGCAAGCTCAGAACACCTGGTTATCCTGATTGCTATCAGAGGAAAGACCCTCACCACTGAGCTTCTCTGAGAGCTGCATCACACTGGGGGGGAGGAGGGAGCCCATTTCCATAGAGATGGAGATTCCGGCTAGGCTTCAAGGGGCTGGTGGGATAGTACCAGCGGATGCTGCCGAGCCCTGGGTCATTCTGAGGAGCCTGCTACTTCAGGGGAGGTGGCGGGTATCAGCCCCCGGGGCACGGGACTAGGCTCTGTGGAGCTGTGTCAGGCCTGCTTTCTAGACAAGGCACTCGGCCATAGAAACCTCGGAAAACGTCCACCCCCAGCCTGCCGTGGGCCACCAGAGAGCCAGGTGTGTCTCTGGAAGCCAGGCTTGGGTGTGAGCGTGGACATCAATGACTGCAGAGTATCAACAACAGGGGACCATGAATCTCTTTCAGGTGAGCGCAGACTGAGAACAGGGGCATCTGGAGGGAGATAGCCTGGGTTTTAGAAAATCATCAGCTTTGAGAAGCTGGAAATCTCTAGGTCTAGAACACGCAGATAGACCCACTCATGGAATTGTGCGTGCGAGTCCAAGGAGCAGGGTCGATAACTGTGAAACCAGGAGTCCTTTCTACTTCTGGTGCCCAGGTTTTAGACATACCTGTGTAGTTCAGAAGAGTGATCTGAGTGCTAAAACAAGATCAAAATGAAGTGGTCTCTACCTGAAGACGTGCTGTGTTGAAGGTGGGAGAAAATCTCTGAAGCCCTCATGGAGAAGGAGATGGAGAACCTTCAAGTCCTAATTGAGGAGCACACGGTAAAGACAACAAATCAGTTAGGGCAGGCTGGCTAGCTGGTGGGATCACTCAGGAAAACAGGAAATATGTGAGGAATAGCAGATGTAGAGGAGGCTTTGGTGGATTCGATTTGAGTAATGTTGAATGTGAAGTGTCTGTGGGATAATCACGTGGAAATGCCCTTCAGAGACAGCTAGAACTGCAGGTGTGGATTTGGGAGTCATTGTCTTGAAGGCAACTGTTACAGCAAAGGGTGAATACGAAATCCCCCAGGAGAATAGAGAAAGTAGAGAAGGAGATAGAGAAAGTAGGGATTCTTGTGATACTTGTTGTTCACGAAAATTGTAGTAAAAGTTTACCCAGAAATGACTAAAAACACCACACTATCTAGGTCAGTTGTAGGTATCACTTTCTCTAAATAATCTCCCTAAACAAGAGGTTACTTTTATTAGCATTGATTTACAGTAAATCAACTTTGAAATGGAGCTGGAAGCTACATGTACTTGACATTTCCTATGTTCTCTGTTTTCTCTATCAACTACCTGGGTGAACTTCAAGTCATTTAGAAATCAGTGACATGTACTTTCTTTTAACT